TCTAAGCCATTTGCTTGTGTTAGAAAGAAAGCAGAGGAGGCATTGTAACAAAATAAACTACAATTTGAGTAGTTGTTATTGCGGTGGAAAAGCACAATTTGATTTAAAGAGATAATCCATCTAAACAACTGATCCTGGAAGCAGTGGTTGTTTCCCACTGTAGCCTCGTAACAAGGTGTCAGGCAGTGACTATCAGTTTCACACGCATTTATGTACATAAAGATCTGTGGGTACAGAGACTTGATTGACCGAAAACTCTCCGTCCTTTTAATTTGTGCATGAAACTTAGTGGAGCACTGCTATTGTTTACAAGGACCACAGCTACAACTGCCAGCTGGTTTCATTAATGGTAGGAACATGATTAGAATAGAAACACCATGAAAGCCAGTCTTAAAGAAAAGAAACAACATTGCTTAGACATTGATCAAATCACAGTGTATCAATGTGTTATGCTGCACTGAAATTTAGATAAAAGATAAACATATTAATTGACTCTTTTCAGTATTGTATTGTAATAACAACTGATTGTCAACACATCCATCTTGGAAAATGTAGAATATTTATTTTCTGTCTGTGCCCTGTACTGTGATGAACATTGCAACATAAATAGGCAAATCATTCTACATTTATGCCTTAACAAGCATTTCCATACAATTTGATTTAAAGAGAATGAGTCAGAGAGAACACTGATAAATAAGCATCATAACGAGAAAAAAGAAAAAACTTTTTGCACAAGTAAAATGTGGAACAAGTTAATTATTGCAGGAAAAAGCTGAAGTGAAGTAGAAGTAAAGTATGGAAATTATTTTTCTTCTGCATAAATCTGTTTGGTTACAAACAATCCCTCCCTTTTTAAATCTCATTTAAAATCCAGCAGCTAGGCCATTGCAAGACAGCACTGGAAACTGCTAGCATAAGGTGCATTTTCAAGTATCTCCTTGCTCGCTCCACAACAAGGAGACCAGAGCCTGGAAGACTAATCCAGAAGGGTCTGTAGGAATCTCAGGCTACATCTATGTTATCAAATAACATCACACACTAATACTGATTCATCAGGTTAAAGCACTTGGTACTGAGGCTTCTGCTTATACGTTGAAGATGGTCAGGGTGGTTTCAGGTGACCTCAGTAAAGATTTAGCCTGGTTGCTTGACCTGAATGTACCCTTTCCTGTGATTAGTTACTATTCAAAGGCTGCTCTCTAGTTGAAGCTTCCTATCGCCATTAGGGCCATTAGGGGTGATGAGCATGTTTGATGAACACAGAGAGCAGGGCTTTGGATTGAGTTTCCTCCTAAACAAATCCAGTCTGTTGGTACCAAAACTGGTCTGAGAACTGCATCAGTATGCAGTAAGTGGGGATGACTGGGACATTCACTTCAAAATGCTCCGGAGCAAAATGTCGACGTAGATACTGCTCCTGTGACTGTGCCACTGTTGCCCAATGTAGGAACTCTATGACCCAGCAACTTGTCTAAGGAACGAAAGATCTGGTATCTACTATAAACCATTTTCTTCTGCCTGACACAGCAAGAAGTTATCTCTACATGAATATTGCACAGAATCATAGAACCATAGAATGCTTTGGGTTGGAAGGGACCTAAAAGATCATCTAGTTCCAACCCCCCTATCATGGGCAGGGTCACCTACCACTAGACCAAGTTTCTCAGGACCCCATCCAACCTGGTCTTGAACACTTCCGGGAATGAGGCATCCACAACTTTTCTGAGTAACCGGTTCCAGTGCTTCACTACCCTCATAGAAAGGAATTTCTTCCTTATATCTAATTTAAATCTAACCTCTTCTAGTTTAAAGCGATTCCCCCTTGTCCTATCCCTACACTCCCTAAAAAAGAGTCCCTCCTCAGCTTTCCTGTAGGCCCCCATTGGGTACTGGAAGGCTGCTTTAAGGTCTCCTCAGGGCCTTCTCTTCTCCAGGCTGAACAAACCCAACTTCATAGGAGAGGTGCTCCAGACCTCTGATAATCCCTTTGACCCTCCTCTGGATTCATGGAAAGATTCATGTCCTTCTTGTGGTGGGGGTCCCAGAGATGAATACAGTACTCTATATGGGGTCTCACAAAAGCAGAGTAGGGGGAGAGAATCACCTCCCTTGGCCTGCTGGTCACACTTCTTCTGATGCTGACTAGGATACAGTTGGCTTCCTGAGCTGCAAATGTACATCGCCAGTTCACGTCCAATTTTTCAACCATCGTACCCACTTCTCCTCAGGGCTGCTCTCAATCCATTCTCATCCCATTTCTGTTTGGAATAGCACTTAATGAGGTGCAAGACCTTGCACTTGGCCTTGTTGAACTTCATGATGTTCACAGGGGTCCAAGCCTGTCCAGGTCCCTCTGGATGGCATCCCCTCCTTGCAGCATTGACCACACTACCCACCTTGTTGTTGTCACCAAACTTTCTGAGGGTGCTCTCAAAGTCCATGTCGCTGACAAAGATGAGGGATGCCACTCATCACTGGTCTCCACCTGGAGACTGGTTCTTCAAGGGATTCTTGCGACATTTCATTAAATTTAGAGTGGCTACATGGTGATTTAATATTTTTCTAGTTGCCTTCAGCAACAGCTACCATATTTATCTGTGGCTTCTACATAGAAAGACAGGTTCATTGCAGTAAAGCAGAATGGAAATGGGTTTAATACTATAAAATGAACAAGTGACAAATTGTTGATATCATTTAAGTCAAGGTCATATCTACCCCAGGCTATGAAACTCAAATGCACATGGAAAACAGGATTTGTTTTTCTGGATCAACTTGTCAGTCTATAGCTGTGCAGGAACTGGTAAACAACTTACTAGGGAAGCACAGAAAACTTTTGATGACATTGTAGGTGCAGAATCTGGAGCAACTGATAGCATCATATGAAGAATGAAGAGAATATTAAAAGCAGTCAAGATCAAGGCAGAAGGCACATATCAAAAGTGGTTAGCTTAAATGTAGGTGATGGTCATGTGAATATGGGTTGTTCTAAACAATTTTCAAGCCATTTTTAAAGTAATATTATACTGACCACATCTTTGAGTTTATATATATATATATATATATATATCACTTTATATAAATCCTTACAATTATTCACATTTATGGAAGGAACTTAATCTTGTTCATGTTCTGAAATAAAACCTCAATTTCTCAAAGCAGTATTTCTAATTAGTTTTTCTTTTATATTTTAATGACACTCCCATTTCCTTTCCAGGCAAACACAGGAAAGAAAAAAGCTATGAGAGAGAATGAGCAGAGAAAACATGTATTTCAGCAACTTCTTCAAAATGCTAAAATTTCTAGCTGAAGAAAATTTCTGAAAAAAAGGGAAGAGAAGAGAAATACATTTAAAAGTATTGCTTCTACCTATACACCCATCAGAAGATGTACAAATATCTGATTTACATTGACTTGATTTTCAGTCTCTATTTTGGTAATGCAACCTGTTTTAAAAAGGAAGCTGAGCTTCATAAAGCTGCTCATGAGGTTTCCTACTTCACTGGAATTACTATCATCACTATTACTGAATACTGTTCTGCTGCTACAAGGCAGTTTCCTCTTACTGTCCAAACATGTTTTACCAACATGATTTAATTTGTTCTCATCAAAATTGCTATGACAATAAGGATTCTCAAAGAACAACAATTGCGAAATTTCTCTCTACAATAACTCAGGCATGGACAAGCTTGAACATAACTACAATAGAAGAAGAGAGATGTTGAGCAATTAAAGATGACTCCCGCCACATGAGACACTCAGTAAAACTATTTTGCCAAAATAGGAAAGACTCTTTAGTTTACTTTCCTGGAAATTAATATTGCCCCCTGAGGCAACTGGACCAACATAGTAGTCAGAAAAATGATATTTGAAATGAAGATTAAACTATAAGGAAAAATTAAACTCTTCAAAGTGAGTAATCTATTACAGGACACCCGACTATAAATGTGATTGGTGAATGCCTGGAAGCAGGAGTTCAGAAGCTGAGGTGTGGATCTTTAGCTTGCTTAGCTACATGTCATCAACATAATCTGTTTCTTGTGAAAGCTCTTTGTTCTTCCATTGAATCTTCTTTTTCATCATCCTATTTCTTCTACTCACCTTGATGAGTGAGACAAACAAACATATAGTCCATGGGATCAGAATAGACATAGTTCAGTATAAATTCCCCTGACACACACACAGCATGGACATTGGGTCCTCAGCATTAATGTGCTTGTGCTACACATCTGTTCCTATTCTTCACTGTTCTATGCAGACGGAGCGGCTGTATCACAATTTTTTCATTGCACTTTATATCATCTGCCCTCCCAAATGCTTTATGATGTTCATGGAAAATAATAAGATTGTAGTATAGTAGTTACCAGAGGAGAAGCAAAGACTAGAAATAAAAGAAACATTAGGAAAAACAACCCTTGGGGCTAAGTAATAATCCTTGAGGTTCCACAGAAAAGTGAACCAAAATGGACTGCACAGACTTTGCTCCAGTCTAAGATACAAACGGAGGCAGGAGCAAGTTGGCAGTACTTCTCTTAAGTTTTATGCCCTTTCAGGCCTGCAGCATTCATCTCTTGGGCTAACTGCCAAAGCATCTGCATCAGTCAGTAAGAACAGGAGGATAAAGTACCAGGAGCAATTTCACTTGGTGCAAACCACAGATCCCACAGCAGATATGACAGGTGTCAGTTCTGCTGTCAGCTGTGAAGAAAGGCCTTTTTGCAGGGACAAAATAATGTGGGTTGGGTTTGCTCTCAGATTACTGGAACCTCACCAGCTTCATGGATTTAGTGAGAAATAATGTTCAGTTTTACAGCTGCCAGTCACCTTTTCACAGTCACACACCCATCTTAAACAGCAAAACCACAAGCTGTTCTGTGGTATGAACATATAATTTATAGATCATCTGTACTTTACTTAGGGTAATTATGCATTCACAACAAGCTATGATTTTAGGCATATCACATCATTCTCATATATTAAATAATTTTTCTTTGCTTTTTGCAGATGTGCACAGAAGGTTTATTCTATTAATATTTATTTTAATATAAGCCAGTTGAGGACTACAGCAAAATTGTAGTTTATTCCATAAATTCAGGAAAAGCACATAGTCCAGCTCATCTTTAGTATAAGGAAACACACCTATGCATCCTTTCAAATACAAATAATATTTTACAGCCACTAAATCTCACTTATTCAAAAATAAATAAATAAATAATAATAAAAATACTTTTGCTATAAGATTCTATTCTATTTGCTTCATGCCAACGTAGCCTTTATTTAAACCTGAGGAACCATAATATATTTTACTTTGTGTTTATAACAACACTATGTGGATATATTTCATGCGTGAATATATCTTCATGCATGAAGTCTAAACTCTACTGTGTTCACAATAATTCACAAAACTCAATTAAGTGATTTATCTCCTCATTTCCTCCTTTACATGACTGTTTAAGGTAAATAACTCCTTAAAATTACTCCACAGTGACAGTGCTACTTTGGTACAACACAATGATCATTATTTGTTCATCTCTATATTACGTCTATCCCTACCTGCTTCATCCAGACTGGAAAAAATACTGAGGAATATGTATTTAAAGCATGATTCTAAAATTCACAATTATCTATTCAGGGAATAAAAATACTATTGTTAGTATTGACAAACTCTGCTTTCCAATGGTCTCAGTAAATGATTAATCCAAAATCAGCAGATAAAAACTATTCATATGGTGTAATATGTATTCATATGGTGTAAACAATTTTAAATAAAGAAAATGTGATAGAACAGCAAAAGGGTTGAATAAACATTTACAAGTTACAATGTAAAGTTACAAGTTAAAATGTAAATGTTACAACATTTACATTTACAAGTGTAAATATATTTACACTTGTTGAAAAACTGGTTGAAATAGCATTGCTTTTGGTTTGCCTGTTCATGTTGAAACTTCACTTTATTGTTCTTAGATCTATTAAATCTCCTTTTGCAAGCATCCCCTCTCATCCCAATACAATCAATATAAACATTAGAATCTGTTTTGGTAGGCACTGAAATTGCTTTTGAAGGTTTCAGTATTTAGATGCTAACACTTTTAAAAACAGCTCTCAATTAAAATATACTTACAACTTTTTAATGCCTCTTTTTATAGTCTAGACAAAAGTCTTACACACACACAAAAAAAAATATATACATTTATCTTCAAAGAATTCTGGAATATAATTCAGAATTAGCACATTAACATATTTTTGGCATTTTTTTCATGTAATGTTTCTACTATAATCACAGCCACCCATTTCTTCTGATATGTAGTAGATCACAGAGGATATTGCTGTTTCACTAATGGATAATTTTAATAGTCCTTTGGGCTGAAGAAAGATAGCAGAAACCCTAAAAAACAAAACAAACAAAAAAACCCCACTGATTGAAGAAGAAACAAAGATTAAAAAAATACTGAACAATATTCTACAAATGTTAATAGAGTCCTATTACTCTCAAATGCCCAAATAGCTAGGAGATTTTTGTTTTTGACATTTTATAAATGTCAAATTATAAAGTTCTCATTCACAGGACCCCAAGGCAGCTTATAAAACTCAAACATCATTTCATCTACCATCATTGAAGCATAGCTATTTCTGATTTCCAGTGAAGAAGCTAAAAAAGTAGTAATGTAATACTGCAAATACTTATTGGCAGAAAATACCTCTACGTGTATTTGAAGGTAGGAAGGAAATGTTGGCTAAATTTTATCCCTCTAACTAGAATGCTTCTTTTAATTTGTATAAAATTATCCTAAATTGTCAAGGACAATGTCTCCAGCTATCGCATCTGTGACTTAAAATAGGATGGTATGGTGTGTCCTGATCAGTTATGTTATTTTCTATAACTCAAAGTATTCATTGTAGCTCTCACATCTGTGCAGAAGTACACCAGCACTTGTGACATGTGACTGATAATACGTGCACGTCTTCAGAAAGTCTGTCAGAGCCTAATGAAAACTGGATAAAAGAAACACCACATCATGTTAGAATGAACAGTGGATGACTATTAACAAACAGAAATGAATTGGATCATTAGCATTATTAAGCTATATATCCAAATGACATTTTATATCATAATTCTTAGTATACTCATACTGCGTGTAGACTAACAACAGGAAAATGTAAGATAGACAGGAAATTGTTCAAAGGACAGAGGTCAAACTATGAAAGGAAACACCCTACAAAGCAAAGAGCCACACTGATCACTAAGGGCACAAAGACAACAGCTCCTGTGGTGGGGAGCAGTGCCCCACTGTGGTTGACACTGCTGCTGACACTGCTTGGTTGCACTGGTCCCAGTGAACACTTTGCCCAGTCCAGCCCTCACCATGGGCTCATTTTTTCTGGGGAATGGGAAGGGAAAGCCTCCTTTTCTCCTCTTCCTGTCAGGGAGACATGCAGGGAAGCAGCCTGAGCATATTTCAGGCAGGAGCTCTTCAGTGAGCTCTGCTCTCTACTTGGTGTCTGGGAAGTAGCCGCAGGTTTGGGGACCACTTTTAAGTGTCCCTTAGCTGACAGGAGAGAGAAAAGGTGGCTTGAATCTTACAGAGCTCACTCTGTCTGTTCCTGTGCACAGGCCAACAGGAGTACCTGAGGGGCCAGAGTAACTCTACTTCCCCTTCATTAAACCCCAGGACATAAGGCATCATCTTTCTGGGATCTTGTAGTGGGTTTACGTGGCAAAGTTTTGGTAGTGTGGGGACTGCAGGGGTGGCTTCTGTGAGAAGAATTCAGAAGCTGACCCCTGTTAAATAAGGGCCAATTTTAACCAGCTCCAAAGAGACGCACTGCTGCCTAGAGCCAAGCCAGTAAGTGATTTTGTTTGTACCTCTGAGAGCATATTTAAGAAAAGGAAAAAAATGCTGTTCAGCAGAAACTGGGTGAGTGAGGAGTTCAAAACAGCCCTGCAGACCCCAAGGTAAGCAAAGGAAGGGCAGGAGGTGCTCCAGACACAGAGCTGAAGTTCCTCTGGGGCCTGTGGAGAGGCCCCTGGTGGAGCAGGCTGTCCCCCTGCAGCCCATGGGTCCCACATGGAGCAGATCTCCACGCTGCAGCCTGTGGAGGAGCCCCCAGTGGAGCAGGTGCATGTGGCCTGGAGGAGGCTGCGGCCCACGGAGAGCCCCCGCAGGAGCAGGCCCCGGGCCGGAGCTGCAGCCCATGGAGAGGAGCCCATGCAGGAGCAGGGGATCGTGGGGCAGGGGGTAGAGCTGCCACTAGTGGGGGACACGTGCTGGAGCAGCTTGCTCCTGACTGATGGACCCCATGGTTCAGGCTGGATATCAGGAAAAGATTCTTCACCCTGAGGGTGGTCAGGCCTGGAACAGGCTCCCCTGGGCAGTGGTCACAGCCCTGAACCTGCCAGAGTTCAAGAAGCATTTGGACAACACTCTCAGACAACATTTTTTTTTGTGTGTCTTCCTTCAGGGACTCAGGAGCTGGACTCGATGATCCTTGTGGGTCCCTTCCAACTCAGTTATTCTGTGATTCAAACCATGCAATGCGCAATATGAGATAAACTAGACAAGTCAGAAAAACCCATCAGAAGTAGCTAGATAGTTTCAGAAGTTAGCTGTGTATAAATAACTGTACTTCAAGTCAGAGGTGTTCTTGCTTTGCAGAAGATTGCCAAGCACCTGATTCTGCACAGAAATAAAAGGCGTTCTTGTGGATTCCAACAGTGTGCTTATTGGCTAGACACAGCAGGCATGAACTTAAGGATAACATCAGTGCTTCTCACGTTTGTCTTTCTTTTTTTTCAGTTACTGCAAGATCACTGGATTAGCAGTGTAGCACATCAGGAGAGAGAAAGCTTCAGTATTCATCTCATTGACCTTCAGTGCAGTTGTTTTGCCCTGTTCTTGCTATACACACCATTCTCCCTTGAACATGTCCATATCCCAGAATTTCTGTTACACTGGTGGTGTAACTTCTCAGGGCATGATGGGAAGGGGCAGTCCAAAGCTTGTATTAAAGCTGATCTCCAACTCTCTCCTCAATGCACATTTTTGACTGCAGCACTGTATTTGGAAAGTTTCCTTCTTGCTGTTATATATGGAGTGGTAATTCGTGTTGAGAAAATCGTTGATATTAATAAAGAAGGGGGAGATTTGGGAGTGTGGCCATGGGGGTCGGAAAGCCCCATGGTTGCTGACAATATCAGACTCTTAAGGAAAAGGCCATCAGGAATGTAAAAGAGTTCAGAGGGAACAAAGAGGGGTGATTCAGGAGACAACACGCAGTCTCAGGTTTCTTGTTCTCCAACCATTGAGGCATGGAAGTTTCTGGATATTTGCTGTTGTTGTTATATGCAAAGTTGTTTGACCAATGAAAAGTTGTTTTGAAAAGAACTGAAAAGAACTGCTGTGGAGAGAAGGGTATAAGAGGGCTCTCAAGATTTTTTAAAAAAAAAAAAAAAAAAAAAAAAGCACAACACGATGAAGACATGTCATCAATAAAGAAGCAGGAAAAAGGAGTGAAGAGGAACAGGCTGGCAGAATGGAGACCAGGACGGGAACAGGCACTTTGATCGTCTCATGAAGATAGGTTCGGCCAAACTTGGCAAACCGCTCATAGAAGCTTGTACAGAAGGTCACTGGAAATTGGCACACCAGAGCTGCGAAGAAGCTCAAGCTGAGAGAAGCGGACCCATGCACATAGCTGCCCCGCACTGGTAAGCAGTTGTGCATTATGGGGAATCATACATTTTTAGAAACAAAGACTGTCCTGGTAACCTTAAAGCTTATTCTCCTTATTAACAATCAGACAATTTATGATCCTGAAATATGGGACCAAACTGAGGTCAAGGCGTGGGACTCTGCAACTAAAAACAACAAGGTTGCAGTGGAATTGCTTGGCACCTGGAAAGCCATCTCTGAGGCCTTAAAGATCCATGTGGGGCCACAATCACAAACGTGTGGTTTGCCAGACAGTGAGGGAGCTGTGGGTTCCTCTACTGATCCAACTGCTATGCCATTGGCCCCTCTGGCTGCTACAGCCATGGAAGACTTTTGCTGTTATGCCCCCTAGTGACCTGGATGTGCCTTTTGACCCAGGCCCTATTGGCCTTGAAAAGGAGATGGATATGCTTTTCTTCGATCCAGGAAGAATGGGATACATAAGGCCTGAAGGCCGAGTTGCTTGACAACTTAAGACATATTGTTCAAAAGGAATGGAAAATGGAGACTTGTTAAGTCATGGAACTTAAAGGATTGTTTGTTACCTTTTCTGATTGTATAGGCATACTTGGGTTTAGTATGTAAAAGCAATGTTCTATGTATTCAGAATATTTGATGTTCATGTGTGCGTGTTGGTGGAGCATAGACTTCCCGCATACCCAGCACTGTTTATTTGCCTTTTATACCTTTTATAAATATTACTAAATCCAGATTGAGTTGAGACTTCATTTATAACATTGCTATGGTTGTTCCTAACAAGCAGGCTGCTTCAGAGACTCAAAGCTTCTCTTGTCAGATCAAACACTAACACAATAGGCTGCAATGTGCACAAATGAGTTGGTACCAGCTAGTAGCCTTCTAAAGGTATAATGATTTATGTAAGCAATTTCCTATTTGAAGAGAAACATAAAAAACATATTGGGATATCAATAAAAACACAGCTGTATGATAAAACATGAATGGTCAGGCTCCTCTCACCCCTGGAAGACACAAACAAAACTTACAGAAAAGAGCATGTAATGGTCTTAGTCAGTGCTCCCTCACATGGACCTGGTATAAAATACTTGACAGCCTTCTGGAAGAAGAAAGAATAAGCCTAGTGAGTGTGACCAGACCACAGTTATAGAATCCAGGAAAGTAATTACAACTGTTTATTTCTGTATTGGATCCTTTTCAAGCTGGGTAGGCCCTTATTTTTTGAAAAAAATATTTTTGTCTATTGACAAAGAGATCCATTAGAAAATGTAGCCTGTTTTAGTTGGTTGAGAGAGTATGCAGCACAACATTATGTGTGTCAGCATCTGAGCCAGCGTCCACTGAAGTTCCTGGGCAGCTTCAGCAAGATTCCCTTCCTGAGGCCATTCTTCAAAATCTTTCATCTCATTAAGCCTATGCACTTAATGCCACAGTGCAGGACAGCATCTTTGTCCAAGATGGCGTTTCATGCTCCACTATCTGCCTTTCTAAGGGAAAAGGTATCCACAGTGGAAGTGTTTTTAAACCAGGGAAGCACAGAAGCGTAATACAGTATAGGCTCTCCCTCTCATGAGGCACTGATTTCAGTTAGGACAAATAGAACTTAAACACCTTACTGCAATCTAGAAAAAGCTTTGTCTGGTTCTATTGTGTGTTTTGCATCACCCTAACATACAGGATCAGTGACTACAGAATCAGATTCTTGATTACATGCTTTTTAAATACAACTTTCAGTATTTCCCAGAACTAAGTACTATTAACTGATGATATAACCTGTGATACCAGTCATTTTTCATGATAACATTATCTTATTTGAATTCATGTATGTCTTTAAAATAGTTTTGAGCATATAGATGATAATCTCTCAATCTGTAAGTGATAGTCTTTCAACCCAGAGAACATTGTAAAATGCCAATAACTGTCAGTGTCTGATCTCTGACCAGGTTCTCTCAGATATATCATTCACAGAGAATGTAATCAGTGATACCAAGTTTACCCTTTAGAAGAATTTTTTTTTTTTTTTCCTATTTGGGAGAGTGGCAAAGTAATATACTACAATCACTATACAAACACAATACAGCAATCAAAATACACAGACTTCACACACACAGAATCTCTAGGTTGGAAGAGACCTCAAGATCATCATACATAGTTATACCCTAGCACAAATATGATTCCTGTTACTGGTCTCTATATACTCACCATCATGATGCCAGTCATTCCAATCATCAACAATACATCCCTAGAACTGAAGCCTGCTGTTACACTGCCCTACACAGAATGCTTTTTTTTCATTTAGTTTTTATACTGTTTGTTGGGCTGAGCCACATATTTACTGCCCCTATACTCAGGGAGACATTCATATTCTCCTAACCACCTCAAGGAGAAACATTTACACCTGTAGCTGATCCATTCATTTGTTCATAGCTGTTCACCTGAAACAAAGGTTCCCCTCTGCTCCCCTTTGTATTGGTAAAGTCAGCGTCATTGCAACAGCTGTGGTCAGTTACACCCTGAGTTATTGTGATGTGATTATTCATGTTCACATCCCCCTTTCCCATGCCCACTGAGTCTTCCTCCACTGTAGGTATTTATTTGGTGAATTACATCACAGCTGTGGAGGTTTAATCAATCAAAGTTATACATAGCTGATGATGCATTTTCAGGTGATGGGCAGATATAAATTATCTTCCATTCGCTAATTTCTATTTATTAGCTTCCACATCTATATCTATTGATTAATTTCCATGTCATATTTTTCAGATGAATCACACAAATGCCACATTTCACTATTTACATGTTTATGCATTTTCAGTTAGAGACTGTAAAGGTATTCAGTGAATGTACTTATAGTAATAGAGCTCAACTGTGGGTTCTTCTGGCACAACAAATTGCTCAGTTAATTATTTTACTTTCTCTGTTTTCTTCCTTGTGGTTCGTTTGTTCTAGAGAACAAGAGCACAGAAGAAAATCCTATTAATTATAGCCATGTCAGCCATTCTGCTTCTGGCAGTGGGGAACACAGCAATGAGAGGAGGTAAAAAGTAAAAGGAGTGTATTTTTAACAATAATAATAATAAAAAAAAAAAACCCACAACACCACCATGGATTTTCCTCCTGTATTTATTGTTACACTTCTGTGACAAGCAATTTCATATAAAAGTTCTGACCTTTACCTCCAAATATTGTCTATGTAAAAATTCAACTAAATCTGTTGATTTATTGAAGTCAACAGAAAATTATATTACATCTCATCTCATTGCTAGTTTACTTTACAATAGTTTTCTTCCATTTGCTTGACTTACAATTTGTGAAATGCTGTTGTATGCAAGTCTTAAGTAAGGGTTAGTTATGCATTGTGAGGGATATTTTTGCTTACCATTTATTTTTTATATGAAGGTTAATTGTTCACGATTTGAAACATATCTTTTTTTTTTTTTTTTAAAAAAAAAAAAAAAAAAAAAGAATCTTCTTTCCCCTTAAATGTACTGGCTATACTTGTTGACTGAATTTTCAGTTTGACTTATTTAAACATTATTAGGGAACTTTTATTTAAATCTAGTTTGATGATTTGTAGTTGCCTATCAACTGTGAAATCAATTTTTACTTGCTCTGTTTCTGTGTGTTAATGATGGATGCATCCAATGACAATGGAGAAATCCATCAAAACACAAAAGGCAGCAACAGAAAAATATCATCACTGGATACTTTCACTTCTGTTTGAAAACAAAGCTTTAAAAGTCATATCAGTTCAGTCTACAACAGAATATAGCTATTCCCATAACTAAATAATTAAACATTTTAATTTCACATGGATTTTCTAAGGTCTTGCTTAGTCTAACTTCTACATGTTGCCAAGATATAAGACAGAACTTATTGGAAAAGAACTTGTTTTCTAAGAAAGATTTTCTACAGGTACATAGAAGGAGAGCATCCTGTCCATTAAGGGTATCTGGTCAAGGTGTAATGAATTAATATCTTTAAAGATCACTAATGGAAAATTATGATATGGCTTTGGAATACACTACAAAATGTCTGTCATCTGTTCTAAGGTTGGAATGATCCTCCTTAGAGGTAAGTATTTGTGTGAGTCAGTACAGGTAGGTGGCAGGAACAACCACAGACTAATGTAAAAATGCAAAGAATAGGTTTATTCTCATTACCTCACCAACTGGGGGATCCCCAAAGAAGCACCCAAGTGGAGGCACACAAGTAGGGATGCAGGAACCACTAAAGAGCATCCATTCTAGGAGATCACAGGCCTGCTGGTTTTGCCTGTTTTTATCAAGGGTTCATGCAGGAGCAGTTTCACCATACTGTGATCTATGGCAGGATCACCATACTGTGATCCCCGTTGTGCTTATTTGATCTTCTCTGTACCAAGGCCAGGAGCTCAAGCATGTCCAATAGTGTGCATTCAAGTCCACTGAACATTATCTATGCACAGATGTGCTATTTGCCAAACACACAGAGCACAAAGAGAAGCAGGTATAATTTATATGTTTTTCTACATTGCTGCTCCCCAGACTTTAAGCATTCCTGGCTGCAAGGTCACTGAGCATATTTACAATCATCCTTACCAGTCTTCTGTTTTTAACCCATTCCTCCCAACAGTATTCTTTGTATTTAATTATGCATCTCTTTAATCAAATATTACTTGCATCTAAACTTTCTTTGGTCAAGGACAGAGTGCTCCTTTTGGAAGAAATAAAGGGAAGTTGTTAGGAGAAGGTAGCCTTAAGTTGTCCTTAGGTGACTTGTGACAATATATGGATAAAAGGATTTAGGGTACTTCATCAGAAAAGACCACCGAGGACCATCAAGGACCCCCAAAGAAAAGAAAACATGCTCAGAAGAGCCTGAAAATGAGCCAAGAATGGTGCAATACAATTATACAACCCATGTAGATTACCATGAAAAGATATTCAATAGATAGAATATGCATGAATACAATGTATAAATGTAGCAAGGAAGCTGGCATTGGGTGTGCTTAATTTGAGGAGAATCCACAGAGCACCCAGGCTTCAGTGAAAACAATATCTCTCTGGAGCATATGAATTGGATTTTTGGATAATTGCACATTAGGTAAAAGGATCCACTTTTTCATATAAGTTTTTGGTGACCCAGATGGGACAGCTGTAAAGCCTTACCAGGATCAACTTACCAGCTGCTGGAAGGGAGACTCTGCTCTCCAGACTCCAGTGCGCACTGACCTTTTGATCGGGGACTCTGACTATTCTCTCTGAGCCACAGTGGGTAAGCGACACAACGGTGCAATGCTTGTAGGAGATGTTGCTTATCTTGGTTAATTGGTAATCATATGTACTTGACTGTGACAACTGGAGTATATGGTATGTGTATATATGCATGCACAGGTAAATTTTGGGAATAGGTATTGTGATGATATGAAATTTTGGTTGAAAATATTCTTTTTGAATAAAGATAGGGGGTTCCAAGGATCTGTAATATCCCCTCAGTCCCCTTTGGGTTGTGTTTTAAAACATTGGAATGAGTTTTGAGGGGATCCCCTGACAAAAAGAAAAATAATTGAATATTGTAATCTTTGGTGGCTGATGTACAAACTGGACAAAGAAGAAAAGTAGCCTGAAAACAAGACTTTGATTTATATGCAGCTGATTATTTATTTATTTATTTATTTATTTATGTATTTATTTTTATTTTGTCGAAGGTTAGGTAAATGGGATGAGGTACCTTATGTGGATGTATTCTTTACTTTGAATAATGATCATGAGACTCAAAAGAAATGTATATTATTGACTTCAGATTCTAATGTAATGATAATGATGGATGATATAAAGAAGCCTTCACAGTGTTGTTCCACATGCGGCATAGGAAAAGATGTGTGAAGCTACAGGATGAAGAAAAGGATGTTTGGATGCTGGTGGCTCCTGATGGAGAGAGTGTTTCTAGTGGCTTAGATGAGGGTAATGCAACCTTTAGCCTAGTGTCAGGAAAGACTCAAGCACAACAGCATCCTGTAATCTCAGCCAGTTTTCGTCTGACAGTAGGGCCAGATGGATCACTATTTTACGTAAAAGTACCATTTACAACATCAGACCTAATGAACTGGAGGGAATCTGGAGGGTCCTATTGGGATAATCCTGATAAAATGATCCCTTAGAATCGTTTTATAAAATGATCCTATTGATCCTTTAGGATGATTATTGAAAATCATAACCCAGGTTGGCAGGATATTCAAGTATTGTTGGCTAATTTATTCACTCCAGAAGAGAAGAGAAAGGCTTCTCAGGTTTCTTGACAGGATGAGGGGGAATGAGCTAAAGTTGCGCCAGGGGGGATTTAGGTTGGATATTAGGAAAAACTTCTTTACCGAAAGGGTTGCTAGGCATTGGAATGGGCTGCCCATGGAAGTGGTTGAGTTACCATCCCTGGAGGTTTTAAAAGATGTTTAGATGTAGAGCTTAGTGATATGGTTTAGTGGATGACTGGCTAGTGTTAGGTCAGAGGTTGGACTAGGTGATCTTGGAGGTCTCTTCCAACCTAGACAATTCTGTGATTCTGTTAAGGAAAAAGCAGGAAAAGAGACTAAGAAGCAGAATGCTAGAGATGGTCAGGGGCAATTTATGCCAACACAGGAACCCAACTGGAACCCAAATACAAATGCAGGGAAATTAATGATTAAGCAATATCAGCAGCTAATCTTGCATGTAATTAAGTATGGAATATCTCGACCAAAGAACCTTGCCAAGTTATACCAAGAGGTGCAAGGTAAAACTGAGGATCTGTCTGCTTTTTATGAATGATTGTGCTGGGTGGCTTGAAATGGACAGATCTGAACCCAAAGGATGAGGCTCATAGCATGACCTCTATCACTTTACTTGTGGGGTAATCAGCACCTGATATTAGAAGAAAGTTCCAGAAGGTAGATGGGGTGTCAGGGATGACCATATCTCAATTGATTGAGATTTATATAAAGTATACAACTACAGGGAGGAGATCGTAAAGAAAGAGAATGAACAGAAGAAACTAAGAACAAGGAAACAAAATGCAACAATATTGGCAGCTGCTTATGTAAGGGCTCAAGCACCATTTAGGGATCAAGGCTTGAGGGAGATGGCAGAACAAGGAAGAGGTTGAGGAATAGGAAAGAGATCAGATGTTAGGATCTCCCTGACAAAAAAACAGCACATCTATTGTAAGTAGAAGGGACACTGGAAAAATGAATATCCAAAAAGACAGTCTAATTAGGTTCCAACTACAGTAATGATACCTGGAGAAATAATTGCAATTGTAGAAAGGGGACTCAGACTGACAGGGACACAGCTTGACAGTGACCCCAGGCATTGTGCTGGGTCCCAGAAGATGGACAAGAGTGGTCTGGGGTTGGAGGACACAGCCATGATCATGTTCCTCTTTAGCTCCCTTCAAGGATTTAAACAACATAAGTCACA